AGAAACTCACAATATAGTGAAGGAAACAAGCATATTAACATTTTTATCTTGCTATATGCTTCATGAGTACAATAATAGTTTTGTGCAAACTAAGATCATAAGTTCACAGAGGAATATTAATAACATCGAACATTAGTTGAGCTTTGCTATATGCTAGGTACTGTTCACTTAACCCTTGACATAACCCTATGAAGTAGGGACTTTTATTGTCACCCTTTAGTAGTTATCTCCATTTGCAGATCGGGAAACTGAGGCCCAAAGAGGCCAAGCGCCCTCCAAGTGACCCAACTAGGAAGTGGGCAGCAGGGATTCAAATGCAGGTCTGTCTGGGTCCCAAGCCTGTGGTTTTCCCACTCCATCAACAGAGACTTTACAAAATGCCAAGGGCTTATATTTCAATCATATCACAATAAAAATAAATAGAATAAAACTATTTTAAATTTAAATTGTAAAAAAAGTCAGCTATGAAATAATATGTGGAGTATGATCCCATCTCACTTATATGTATATTTTAATTTGGGGGGGGGAGTTACAGATGTCTTTAAATTTATAAAAATAAAGAAATAATGATTTAGAAACACATTAAAAAGTAATAGGAGTTAACATTGGGAGGGTGATGCAATTGTATTTTCAGGGATTGATTACTGAGAGGGAGGGATGGGGTAGAAGAAAAATGGATATTATACCTTTCTGTACTTTTTGACTCTTAAAAATGTGCATTGTTCAATTTGTGGTTGGTTAATTAATTTCTTCAAAAGATATTAAATTAACAAACTAACTTTAAAAAAATGTCAAGGACAATGACCTTGCTTAGTCATCAAAGTTCATGTTGCCCTCCATGGCAAGGGACTTCCTATCCCGGGCTCTGTTATTGTTACTGTTACTGTTCTTGTTCACTAGCCTTGTAATTCTCAGTAGCAAAAGCAACAACAGAAGCTTTCTAGGTCCTGTCCTGTTTCCTGCCTATTGGCAAGGACACAGCAGAGGAGGGTAGTAAAGCCTTTCACACACTCTCGGGGCCTGTAACTGTATTATAATCATTGCTGCTGGACAATGGTGGAAACAGCCAGAGTGATCCCCTTCCCAAAGCTTCTCTTCTGGGGAGGTGGGAAAAGAAAGGCGCTTTAACTGGGACAGGCCACCGGGCAATCCCATTAGCTCTTAGGGATGCTGCCTCCTTGGCCCCTCTGTGTCCTACCCAACCTCTCACAGATGTGGTAAGACTACAAAGAAGTCGTATGCTAAGAAAGAGATGTGAAATGGTGGCCCGAGGCTGAATGTGGTCCATGTAGGTGCCACACAGCCCACACAGTATTTTATAAATTTGAGCCATTGTTTTAAAATCAGGAGATTGCACATAAAGTTGCAGATTTCCAGCTTCTCTTGCAAAATTAGAAGTTCTAGCAATATAAGCCCACACTCCAAATGGCAAGAAATGATGGAAACTGAGTCGTGTCTTTCCTGTTTATTTTTTTTTTAACTTTTTGTTTTTTAAAAATATATCTTTATTGACTTCAGAGAGAGAGGTGAAGAAGGAGAGAGAAATAGAAACATCAACGGTGAGGGAGTCATTGATCGGCTGCCTCCCGCAGGCCCCCGGCCAGGGATCGAGCCCACAACCCGGGCATGTGCCCTGACCAGGAATTGAACCGGGATCTCCTGGATCCTAGGTCGATGCTCAACCTCTGGACCACGCCCGGCCAGGTGCACCTTCCCTGTTTAGAACTGTCCACTTCACCACGGTGGCCCTTCAGCTCCCCTTCCTCATTAAGTTACTGGTTGTCCCCATGGGCATTCTCCTAAGGAGTTCATGCCTGTGATAAACAGAATTTGATCTTCCCCACGATTGCAGCGGGAGGGAAGGAGCAGAGACCCACTTAGCAGATGAGGGCAGCATGGGTGGGCCCTGCCACCACCACCTCCTGCCAAGGCAGCTCTCTCCACCCAGCAGGCTGGAAGGCTGCTCTGGGCAGGCCTCCGAGTTGAATCCATAGGGCTGTGTGGCAGAGGGGACAAAGCCTCACCATTCTTTCTGCTGTGAGCTTCCATCTAATAATTACATTGCTGTTTATGTACCAGACAATGGGCTAAGCATGAGTGCAACGTGCATTATCTCATCCAGTCACTGCACTGCCACCTGGAGGAGGAACTGTTATCACCCTCACTATCACCTGGACAACTGAGGCTCAGTGACAGAGAGTCATTTGCCTGTGGTGTCATCTCCCTCACACAGACCCCAGCCAACAGATGGCAGAGTTGGGATTCCAACTCAGGTCCCACTGCCTCCAAAGCCTAGAAGTTGGAAACTGGTGACCAGAGGGGCAGACTAGTTTGGCCAGCAGTAATTTGGGAAATGGAAGTTTTGGCCTCTTGTTGGGCTTACTGGCCCCCAGTTTGCTGCAGGGTCCAACAATACTTGCTTACTTGTACCCTGGCCTCTTTCTTCATGCATGTTACTTACCTGGCCTCTGGAAAAGGTGACAATTGTCATGTCCTTTTGCCTTCCCTCAGAGTCCATCTCAGATGAGTTTGAGGTCTTGGTTCCAGGGCAGAGCTGGAGATCTGTGTTTGTCTCTCCTGACCCCACCCCACCAGGTTCTATGGGAGCTGAGAGCAGAGGTCAGTGAAACATGGTTTGAGTCCAGGTTCAGCTCCATGGCCGTGATGCTACTTCAGAGCCCGAGTCTTAGAGGATAGACTGGGTTGGTTCCAGGATGCACTGGTCAATTGATTTTGCTGTTTTAAATAATTTCTTTCCATTTGAGATTCAATCCAATGTGACCATGCTTTAAATCAGGGTTTATTAAATAAAGGCTGTTTATGTCAAGTATGGGCTCTCAGTGTCTCGTTTCCTTTCCTAGGGGAGGAGGGGACAGGACAACCCAGTGGGCATGGGGCTACATGGGTGGGTATTAGGGCAGGAGTTTTGGATCAGGCTGGATGGGGCTTGGTTGTTACCTAGAGTGACCAGAAAGTCTAGGAGGCAAGGGTGATGGAAGTCCAGAAGAGAAGCCCAGGTTGATTGATCCAAGCAGAAGGAGGGAAGCCATGGCCCAAGTGAGAGGCTGGGAGAATCAGGAAGCACAGTGCAGGGTGGAAGGCAAAGAATATTGGTTGAGGTTGGAAACTGGCAGGTGCCCAGGAGCTTCCTCTGACAGATGCTGTTGGGTGTTCAAGTCAAGCCCTAGCTGGGCTACACCATCCCATTGTTCTAGCCATGGGTTCTTGAGGCTTACAACAGGGCCATGTTAACCACAGAAGAGAAATGGTGCTAAGCCAGCTAAGATGTTTTTGGCTGCAAGGATGGGTCTTATGTGATTGACTGGTCCTTAGTTAGAAGGAGGGGGTGGGTGGGAGTAAAAACAAGGAGACTGGCCATCATTACCAAATCCTCACTGTTCTGGGCTCATTGCTGAGGAGGTTGTGGTTTGGCTTTTAGGGCTGATTGCTGTAGAGGTTATGGGTGAGAGTTCTGTTGTCAATGTCCGTTTGAATAAGTCTCTTAGTGTGCGGAAAGGGAGCCCAGCTATGTGATTTGGGCACACTGCTAACTTCTGTAGGCNGTCTCTTAGTGTGCAGAAAGGGAGCCCAGCTATGTGATTTGGGCACACTGCTAACTTCTGTAGGCCTTGGTTTCCTCATCCATAAAATGGGGATGTTAATAGTACCTGTCTCAGATGTTCATACATGGCAAGTGTTTAGAATAGCACCTGGCATGTGGTGAGTAGCCAACAAATGTTAGCAATAATAATATTAACATTTAATAATATAAGCATATTTATAATTATATATAACAAAATATTTAATAATAGTAGTAATTATTATTTTAAAAAATGATGACAGCTATGGCCAGTGTGGTTCAGTTGGTTGGACATCGTCCTGTGCACCTAAAGGTCGCTGGCTTGATTCCCAGTTGGGGCACATGCCCAGGTTGTGGACCTGATACTGGGTAGGGGGAATGTAGGAGGCAGCTGATCAACGTTCTGCTCTTGAACTGATGTTTCACTCTCTCTCTCTCCCTCGCCCTTCTTCTATCTCTCAAAATTTATAAACTATTCTTTAAAAAAAAAAAAGATGATGATGATGATGCTCAGTGGAAAGGGCACTGGCCTAGGAAGAGGGTTCTGGGTTCTGCCTCATCACACTGTGACCTCAGTCATGATCTCTCTGAGCCTCAGGCGTATCTGTGGAATATAAGGCTAGACTCTGATTTCCAAACTCATTCCTGGCTCGAATGTTATAATTCCCCATGGCTGCGGCCACAGCAGCACCCCGCTTCCCCCCCTCACACCCACACACAGCCTTCCCCCATCTAAGCTCTCTGAACACTTGGACCAGGTGCTCCAGTGCATTAGGCTTTTCGGTTCTGATTTCAGCTGGTTTCAGTTCCTAAATTGAGCCCCTTCACAGGAACCACGGTTTGTGGTGGGGGCATGTGAGCCGTTGGAAGCAGATTTGGGTCTTTAAATTAATACAACCCATCACAGTGCCTGGCACATCGTAAGTACTCAAAAATGCTGAGTATACTTAAGGGCACTGTGGTTAAGTACCTATGTTGTGAAGGAAGAGACCTCCATCTGAATCCAGCTGTCTACTCGTCCTGTGCTCCTCTCTGAGCCTCTGTATCCTCATATGTAAAATGGGGGATCAGTGATGGCTCCATCTCACAGGGTGTGTGTGTGGTGGTGGTGGGGGGTGTTATGAAGATGAATGATGGGTGTAGAACACTCAGCACAGTGCCTAGACTCCAGCAAGTGCCCAGTGAATGACAGCTATTGATAATGAAACCTGAGATCTTGTCACCCATCTCTCAGGAAGGAGCCGTGATCCAGCAGAGAGAACAGGCTTTTCTTAGAAGCCCTGCTAGTACCTGGGCTTGGTGAAGGCAGGGGCGAGCCTTCCTGCCCTTTACAGACACATTACTTCTCCTCAGGGCTTTGTTCATAAATCTAGTACAGGCCCAGCCAGCCGCTTCCTGCACTCACCCCACACACACAGAATGTCTTACTCTGATTTTAATTAAGTCATACAGTGCAGGGCATCGGGCCCCACCAACTTCATTAGAAATCACCTGGAATTGTGGGGGGACTGGGAGAGGTGATGTCGAGAAGATGCACTCTCCCCAGCCTTACCCTATAGGGACTATACCCAAAGGGAGTTACCCCAAGGAGATGGGTGCAACAAAATGCCCAACAGAAGGGACGGGGGTGAAAGCTACCCAGAGGCCAAGGGGGTGTGGTGAGGAGGCAATCAGGGTTTTTCAGCCCACCCTCAGGGAAGAATGCAATTGTTCAATGATCAAGGGAGGAGGCTCCATCAGCCCTCCCAGGGCTTCTCCCCTGGGGGAGGCAGAGCTGGGAGAAGCAGAAGAGGCTCCTGGTTCCACTTCCTTTCCTGAGCCAGGCAGCTGGGTCAGATGCTAGGAGACAGAGTGAGGCAGGTAAAACGGGTGTCAGGGACTGGGGAGAGTGCTAATGGCCGTGCTTAACCTGTAAAAGGTGTATGATTCCCTGTGTTCAAGAGCTGGAAACATGGGGTGCAGATGGTGGGGAAAGGGTGCTTTCCCATGATGCACTCCATTCCCAGTGGCCCCCAGGGGTGTCAGGATAGGCATGGGTACACCTGATCCTTTGCCCCCTTCCATGGGGCCTGGTGGTCTCTGCAGAAAAGAGAGAACACTGGTCCATTTCCTCCCTCAGCCCAGCCCCCACTTCTCTCCAAAGGGAGCTGGGTTTGTGGAACCAAAGCTGTGCTGCCTGCCCTGGGACCCAGAGAAGTGAGGTCTCCCAAACTCCTTCAGCTGGCCTGTAGTGGGGTCACCCCCGATCTCCCTGAGTACAAGTGAAGACTTGATGGCTTCGCCATACTGTTTCCTTAAAGGTTGTGGCCTGTCCTGAACCCAAAGGTCATGTGGAGGTAGAAGGCCCTGGGGCAGGGCAGGAAGGGGTGCACCACTTTCCTACTCCCCAAGGTCTAGTGTGCTCTTCCCGTGGGGGTCCCTCCTCCCTAGGGGAGGACAAATCCCCCAAATAGGAAAGGGGGTCGCGATAGGATTGATAGCTTTCTGACGTTACTTGAAAACACTGGTTCCATTTTGACCACCAGATTCCGATCAGTTTGCAAATACCCTGCCCAGGCCACCCTCTCTGGATAAGAGAGGCCTCCGTTGCGTTCACTGGCATTCTCCTGGCCGGGCCATCCCAAGGTACCCGCAGGTGCTCACACCGCCAAGCTGCTCTTCTCCTCCTTGGGGCTGGGCTCCTCCTGCACTTTCTTCATCTCCCAGCCCCTGACCCAGGTGTAGGCGGAGGAGCCCCCCAGCACCATCATGTTGCTCGTCCACCAGAGGAAGCTCTTGGTCTCCTCGTAGTAGAGGACGGCCAGCACCGTCTGGGCACAGGCCTTGGCCGTGCCCGACACGTTGTGGGTCAGGGGACTGGTGAACTTGATCTGCAGTCCTGTCACGTAGCCGATGGCAAAGCCAAACAGGCCTCCCAGGGTCATCATGCCCCAGAAATGGGCACTGCCCAGCTGGCCAAAGTGGAAGAGGGTCTGAAGCTCCCCCAGCAGTAGGAGCAGGGGCAGGAAGAGAACACAGGCATTGACGTTGTTGTAGAAGGTCAGGCGCCAGATGCTGCCGTCCACCGCCGGGAGCACCTTCTTGGTGTAGATGGCGTTGAGTGAGACGCAGAGGCTGGCTAGCACGCCAAAGAGGGTGCCTGTCCAAGACAGGGTACCCTCTGCCCCTTCCTGGTCCACACCAAGCCAGAAGCCACCTGCAGTGGGGAAAGGAGAATTTTGAAGCCCAAAATTCACAGGCTGTAACGCTGTCCTCACCATCCCCTCCTTCCCACCCTCCCTGCAATAAATATGTCCAAAGTCTCCACCACATGCAAAGTACAACACAAGAGCTGGGGAAGCAGCCCAGGACAGGAGCCCTTCCTCATGGAGCATGCATTTTAGCAAAGGAGAAAGACATTAGGATAATTGATTTCCTGTTATTTCTTTAATTACAATCGTAATGAGGTTCATAAAACAGCGCAGGGTGCTGTGAGAACCCATAACTAGACGACTGTGTTGGCCTGGGGCATCTGGAAAGTAACACTTGAACCGAGTTCTGAAGGATGAGTACTAATGGTTACAACGACCCTGGGCAAGTGATTTAAGGTCTCAGAGGCTGGGCTCCTGGTGTATAAAATGGAAGCCTGTGAGTTTTTTTCGATACCCCCAGTCCCCAGACCTCTCACTGCCTGTGCTTCCCTTCAAGACTCCTGGCCTGCCATGGGCTGCTAGGCACCTGCCCACTGGGACAGTACACTTTAGCCAGACCCCACCTTCCCAGAAGATGAGGCTGGATCTTACACATGTATCCCCAGCTACAGCATCCGGCAACATGGGAGAGTAGGATAAGTTTTGGTGTCGGCGAGATTTGGGCTCTGCCATTTAGAGGCTAGGTGGCCTGGGAAAAGTTTAACTTCTCAGAGCTCCCATTTCCTTTAGCTGCAGAGATCTGGGTCACTGTTTTAACGCCCTCTCCAACCAATCTGCTCTCCACCTTGCAACCAGAATGACAATGACCTTCCTCATGTACAGATATGCTCAGGTCCTGTCCTGGCTTAAAGCTCCTCGGAGCCTCCCCACTGCCCTGAGAAAATAGTCCAGACTCACTTCACTTGAGCAGCCTCGCACCTGGGGAGTCTTGCTCGGGCCCAGCCATGAAGAAGGGCACCTGCTCTTTCTTCTGTCTAGAACAATCTCTCCTCACTCCTTCCTTACACCCATCTAGTGCTTCCTCCAGAAGGCCTGCTTAGATGACCCCTTCCCCAACTATTCTCTCCTTCTCCACCCAGCCAGGATTCCTACAGCACCTTCTATGTCCCCATCACAGCTCTTACTGCTTGATCTTAACTCATTTACTGCCATGGATCATCACCATGACCTCCAGGAGCATAGAAGCTGAGTCTACTTTTTCCAAATTTGTATCTCCAAAGTGTGGCACAGTCCCTGGCATGTGCCTGGTCTCAATATTTGTTGATTGAATGAATGGAGGTTGTTCTGGAGGTGGTTATGGGGATTAAAGGAGATGAGGCGCCTACTACATTATAGGCACTCACTCCTAGCATTCTCTTTCTCGGTAAAGCCTTTGCAAACAGGCTACCCACAGACCTGCTCTGGGGGTGGAGAGGGTGGGCTTCGCCAGAGCATCTCCATCCCTCCTGTTGGTTACCTTCTGAGCCCAGAAGGGACTGCCACCTAAGGATCCAGACCCCAGAGGGATTCTCAGCTAGAAAGAGCTTTGAAACGCACTTGTGTGACCTGGGGGACAGGGAGAGGGAGGAGGAGGAGGAGGAGGCCTGGAGTAGTTGCCTTTGACCCATCTTTCCCCACAAAGAGGGAGGAAGGGAAAACACTGCAGAGAAGGAACAGGTTCTAGGCCAGCAGAGAGCACCGGCCTCCCCGGCCCCTGCCCCACCAGGTTGGCCAGTGAATGCACCTTCTCAGAAGCAATCTTACCATCAGCTACTTGTATTACTTTTCGGATTTGGGCCCACTTTCCCTAGTGACATCACCTTCCTGCATGCAAATTCTCCCACAAAGAGCACACCCCCTCCAACACAGACACACAAGGTCTGCAGGACTGAAGAGATCCCTGGGGCATTTGGGGAAGTGTGGGAGAAAGTGAGGCCTCCCCTGGGAGGGGAAGGGGGAGCAGCTGAGAGAGATGTGCCAGGGCTCTTAGCAGCTCCTCCAGCTTTGACCTCCACCCCTCTCCCCTGCCTCCCTCTGGATCTTGGGACTAGCGTGAGCAGCCCTGGATCCAGCAGTTGCTAAACAAGGGGAACATTTTCTAGGACAGGTGGCATGGGATGGGCCCCTCCCTGGCAACCAGTCCACCTTGGCTTTGGACTCTGAGACACTGGCGAAGAATATGTAGGTCAACCAAGACAAACTTTCCAGCATCAAGACAAACCTGAACAGGTTTAAAGAAGGATCACATTCCTGGATGACAGAGGCCCAGGAGGGTTGGGGATGCTCTTACCCAGTGTGCTGCAATAAAACAATAAATGTTCTATAATCTGTGCTGTCCAATACAGTTGCCACTGGCCACATGTGGCTACTGAGCACTTGAAGTGTGGCTACAGAATCAGGTTACAACATCTGTAACTGAGGAACTGAATTTTCAAAATTTCATTTAATTTGAATTATAGTAAGTCTTCACTTAACATCGCCCATAGGTTCTGCTACTAAAACAATATATAACTAAATAAATTTTACCATAGGCTAATTGATATAGACAAGAGTTAAGTTCCTGTGCATCTTATCATTTTTATAATGAAATGATGTATTTGAGGACCTGCTGTAATTTAAATTGAAATGGACACATGGCCACTGATTATTTTGTTGTGTAGTGCAGCTTTAACATCTAGGGGATAAAAACAGAACAGAGTGGTTAGAAGAGCAGGACTGACAGTCTGACCAATCTGTGTTTGCATCCCAGTCTAGCTACTTCCTAGCTGTGTGGCCCTGGGCAGGTAACTTAACCCCTCTGAGCCTCAGTTTCCTTGTTTGGATGGAGATGATCACGGTCTTGCTAACACTGCTAATACCCAGAGACTTCTGGGGAACAAAGGAGATGCTATATGTGAAATTATTAGCACAATAACCCCAACAATAACTGTGATTTTTTGAGGGTCAAGTCTGGGAAGACAGCTAATACCTCTAAAAGCATATCTCTTGCCACTGTCTCAGCCGTTATTATGAGCCTGCAAGGTCAGGGTGACAGGATATTTATTAAAAGATGCATTGTCCCATAGAAAGAACACTGGATGGGAACTCAGGACTCTTGAACTCTTGAGTAGCAATAGAGTATAGTGGTCAGTGTATGGAGTCTGACTGCTTGAGATCAGATCCCAGCTCTGCCATTTATTAGCTGTGTGATCTTGGACAAGTTACTTAACCTCTCTGTGCCTTGGTTTTCCCTGTGAAATATAGATTATAATTTCACCTGTATGAGGGGACTTGCCTGAGCCCCTAACTTGCTGGATGACACTGAGAAAGTTATTTGATCTCTCTGGACCCTAAGATCTTCCTCATATTACCCATCAAGGGAGCTGGGGTAGATAAAGTCCAAAGATGCTTGCCAGGGTTATTTCTTAGGGTTTTGGCCCCCATGCCTCCCTTATTTCCCATGGCCCTGGCTGGCCACTCACCGATGATGACGCTGCAGGTGAGCAAGGCATAGAAGGAGGTGGTCTGCTTGAGCAGCAGGTAGGAGAGCAGCACATTGAAGACTGTAGTGAGGGAGCGGCCCACGTTGTAGAAGGCCACACCCACGTACTTCAGGCAGAGGTTATTGAAGGAGATCATGCTGATAAAGACCACGGACAGGGGCAGGATACTTCGGGCCACCCTGAGATCCAGGCGCAGGGTGGGGAAGTCCAACACACCAGGACAGAAGGTGGCCAGTGTGCTGAGGCCCTTGCACAGCAGTGTGGTCACCAGGCACTGGTAGAAGGTGACGAAGATGGGGGTGTCCAGCTGCAGAGAGGGGCTGTCCAGCAGGTACTTGTTGAGAAACACCATGGAGATGGAGGTGATCCAGTAGAGAAAGACCACCAGTGCGATCTGCAGTGCCCGGAGCAGAAAGGGCTTCCCCTGGCTGGCCTCTGACTCGCTGAAGGGGTCGGGAGTCCCCATCAGCGCCATGTGCAGGATCCTGGAACGCTTCAGAGGGGCCCTGTTCATGGTAGCGGAGGAGCTGGGTCAGGCACAGCCAGACTTTCCTGGAGTACTGGGCAGTGCGCTTACTTCTGCTCTCTGCAAGCTGCAGCCCTCAACTGTCACATGGGGGTGGCCTAGAGGCCTCCCCAACGTCCTCTTGGATGGGGAGGTTCGGCTTTGGGGTGAGCCTCACAACCTGCTCCCACCCTGAGGGGCCTCGTGAGACAAGACACCGGGAAGGGGTGGTGAACAGGCAGATTGCATATCAGGGGAGACGGGGCTGGGGCCTAGGGGAGGAAGGGAGAGAGGAGAGGAAAGGAAGGAGAGCGGGAGCGGAGGAATGCGGGCGAAGGTGCTACAGGCCTGCGGAGCGCAGGGTGCGGAAGAGGTGCGGGGAGAGGGAGGCGGGGCTGCTACGGAAAGAGGGGTTTGTAGGGAGGGAGGCGGAGGCCTAAGGGAGCTGAAGGGGGGAGGGCGTGCGGGGGGTCTGGAAAGAAGGGTGCAGGGGAGGCCCGAGGGGCTCAGGGCGGGGGTCCTGACGCGGGAGGAAGCCCGGGCGGCGCCGGCCCACAGCACAGTCCTCTAGGGCGCCCCGGGAGCTCAGCGCGGGTGCTCCCCGACATCGAGGCCACGCCCCCGGCGAGGCGGGCCCGGGGCTTACTTCCTGACACGCCCCGACCTCTTCCTTAAAGAGCCCGCACGCCCGGAATCACTCTTAAAGCCACAGCCTCTGAAAGTCGCCGTTCAGAGCCAGCCTCGCCTCGGGCCCCGGCCGCCTCCCGGCACGTGCGCTCCGGGTGCGCTGAGGGGGGAGGGGGATCTCTGCGGCCGCAGGTGGTTCCTCTGGGTGTTCGAACCCTGGTCTTCCTGCAAGCCCCGCCAGCTCCGTCTCCTCCAAAGGGTAACTCCCCCAACTCGGCTCATCTGGAGGTGCATCAGCCCCCGATCCCCAGGCCGGACTGCGCTCCCCCCACCCCAACTTAGCTACTCCCCACGTCCCTCCACGTCTAGAGACACCCTCGCCCCCGCCATGCCCCAGCTCACTCTTCCCAAACCTCTTTGTAGTTCCCTCC